CTTTGTTATCGAGAGGTCGTAAGCCGCACATGCGCCCTTCGCAATAATTTAACAAATCAATCCTAATTTACCATTTCATCCCCTAAACAAATTATTTTTGTAATTTCTGAAAAAATAAAATAAAAATGTTAGATATTTTGCATATAATTTAATAAAGTAGTCCACTGTCACTTTTTTTACGCCAATCTTAAAAGTATATATTGATTTATCTTAAAAGTATTTATCTTAAAAGATATCTTATATCTTAAAAGTATTTATTGATATTTTTAAAAAAAACTATCTGAGTCTGCTTGCTGCTCACTCTGCTCAACAATTCCCGTTTTTGGTCCTCAATTCATCATAGATCTCAATCAATAATAAAAAAATCATTTTATTTATGAAATATATAATTATAATATTTTTGATTTACAACATGTTGTTAATATATTAATTTTTACAAAATGAATGATTTATTTGATCTGAAAGGAAATCAATTATATTTAAAGAAAATTTTTTTTAAATTTAAGAATATTGAATGCGTGACAAAATAAAAAGCAATAAATAAGAAATAATTTTGCTGGTTAACAATATGTACAATTTTCAGCACACAATCGTTAAATTTTCTAAATTTTGAAAAATTTTGTATAGTAACCCAAGGCAAAAGAACGTAATATAACGTAATATAAAGTAAAGCAAAAAAAAAGAAGAAAATCTCGCGAAAATAACACTTAAAATTGAAATATCTTTTGAATAAAACGTGTCTTAAATTGATAACAAATGGCCCTTCCAACACGTCAAATTTCAATTCAGTTTCCGTGGCTTGCAAAGCGCCCCTGTGGCATATTTTACTACAAGTTTAACAGTTAATAATTCTCGAATTAGCTATCTAAGGTCAAATTATTTTATCATATTGTGCTTCCTGTACATTTTTCTATTCTTTTTCGGAATTCCAAATTTTTAAGTTTTGCTGAGCAGCAAAACAAAATCTAACGAAACTCGATACAACAACGACGCTTACGATTTTTTAATATGATGGAAGACTATGGCCCTGCACATATCGTTTGCCAGCTGCCCTGNATTTTATCATATTGTGCTTCCTGTACATTTTTCTATTCTTTTTCGGAATTCCAAATTTTTAAGTTTTGCTAAGCAGCAAAACAAAATCTAACGAAACTCGATACAACAACGAAGCTTACAATTTTTTAATATGATGGAAGACTATGGCCCTGCACATATCGTTTGCCAGCTGCCCTTGTATTCTCTTATTTTTAAATCTCATTTTTATATTATCCATTTATTTATGTCTATTCTTCCTCTTAAAAACCGAATTATAAAAAAAAAGAAAGAAACGAAGACATCATTTCGGTTTATAAAAACATATAACTATAAGAATTTTACGTAAGAACATATTATTAATACGCTTATCATATAACAAAATGGACGATTACTTGAATTTCGCATATGATCAATTCAATATGAAAAAAATATTAAAACTTAGGGATACATAATGTATGACACAATAAGAAATTATTTTACTTGTTAAGGACACATAACGATAACTAAACTCTCAATTTTACATTTTCTTACGTCATTTATTAATCTTTTTTTGTTCTTTTGATATCAAGTCAAGCACGAGCTTATAAATCGAAGATCTCGAAGGGAGATAAACTTTCATTATTTAAAGCAAACAAAGGGGGAAATCCCGAGAAAGCACTTAAAATTGCTTTTAAGTGCTTTCTGGATCGTGAAATTCAGTTTTTTTCCCCTTTATTTTTTATCTTTATTTTGTTATCAACTCCACTAGTATTGGAGCCATTAAATAATAGAGAAGCATATATTGTTGCACAGATATGACAAGTTTTAGTTATTTTTCTAGGTAAGTTCCAGGTTTGTTTTTCTACTTTTAATTTGATTGTAACTGGTTTGAGATTTTTTTCCAGAAAGAGGGGAGGAAAAGAGGATTCCAATTTCAAAACTTAGTTGCTGCATTTATATACAAGCTCTACAGCTGTCATGATAACTAAATTATAATGTAATTATTGAATGAAATTATTTTTTTATCATGCTAAAAAGTCATGCTCACTATAAAATTAAAATTAGCCATGAAGTAAATTATTAATTCAGAGATATAGCCTCTGCAATGCCTGTCAAAAGCCATTAATTTTTTTTATCTGATTAAGAGGTTGAAATATAATAATATAAGTGATTATCTTTAAACATATTTTGTACGATTTAAAAAATAGTGTGTAAATTTCATACTGATTATTTCATATTGAAAAATTTCAAATTGCATATTAAATACACATATAAATACTATTTCTTAGGAACATAAGTTATTAAATGGCATATAGGTTATTTTATTTAGAAATATAAATAATATTGTCTGGATATCATTTAAAATATATATATTAGAAAAAAATATGTATGTTAATTTTCATCTTTTTCTGTTTAGATGTAATACCTAGCTTCCTTTTTTATTCCCACGTTTATATAAACTTGCCTTCGTGTATGTCTGTCCGGGTGGAATTTTGCAATCGATTTTAAACTAACTTCCCGACTAGCCACAAACTTCAAATTTGGCGCATAGTTCAGAATTGGAAGACAATGCATGAAAATGAAGAGAAAAAAGACATACAAAGTAAAATAAAATTAAAATTTTAAAAAAAAATCATTTTCGAGAATGTCTTTTGTTGTCGATTCCATTATTTCAAATTAGTATTACATGTCAGGTGAAAAGATTTTTATTGTCGGAGTATTTTTATTGGCTGAAAAATCACGTGGTAGGATCCAGTTTTTCCTCATTCATTTCCAGATTGTTTTGGTTGTCATCAGCATAAAACTAATGAAAGTCGTAAAGGTATTGTTTTTCTATAAAGATTTTTG